GATATTCCGGCCCCCGTCCACAAAAATTACAAATAATGCGTATACATTCCCAAGCACCGTGTCTCCCCTAACAGCCCTTTCTCTACCGATGTTTCTACGTTTCATGTTGTCTGTGGATGTTTAATTGCTCTTTTTGCTGCTGTGTTTATTCTGTTTATAGTATTTTGTTACTCTGGCACAACAATTTCCTTCGGGATAAATAAAGTCTTATCTTATCTCTCTTATCTCATTTGTAAAAAAAGAAGATATCTCAGTGAAAAATACACAAATGTGGTAAATATAATGTTGAAAGCGCAAAAAAAAAATATATATTTAAAAAGTAACTTAAAGATATCACACTGCCTTGCTCACACTGGGATGTGGGGCAATTATCATATTTCAACATTTGTAATAAAAAAAAAAAGTACTTTATTTTAATAGCACCTTCTAAAACAGATGTACAAAGTGCTTTCACATAAAAAGGTTAAACAATATAAAATATAAATCAAAAATAAATAGAATAATAACAAGTAAGGTGGGAAATACAGGAAAAAGTGTACATGCTACCTGAATTGTGATTTATTTCCCACGCAGGATGACTACATAAACTCCCTTTATGATAATTAAAAACAACACTAAGAAAATATTACAATTCTTAAAACGAACATGAAGACGTGTTCAGTGAAAGAAATCAGAGAAAGCTTTGACATCTGCTATCAAAGCAGAGCTAAGATATTGACAGTGGCTTTCCCCTAGTACTTTTGGGCAAACCTTGGAACTGTAAGCACTTCCTGTCCCTGCACCATACCTTGCCAGCATGTTGTCTCTTATACCCTCCCCTAAAAATTTCTTTTTCTGTGCCGGATTTCCAATAAACCCAGCGCCCCGATGTTTAAATCTGTGCTCACGACATTTTGGAAAGAAACAGAACAATGTGTGAGAATCATTATTTTTGGTGCAGCTGCTCTCTGCCTGCAGCAAGTGTGTCAGACAGCAGGAGGGAGAGACCTGAGATACTCCCACCACATCCGCTGACATCCTCTAAAAGGAGCGTGCCGACAGAAAAGCACGAATAGGAACATCGGGGAGGAAGTCCGCCGAACAGTCTGACTCTGAAAGTTGTTTTTGAAATGATCAAGGTCTTAGAAATGCTAAAAATGACCCTCTCTTTTAATCATTAATTTTCGTTTTTTCAAGCCTCCATGTACTCTGCACTACTCCTACTTTGCCTTAGCACATTTGAGCACATAACACATACAGTAGCTTGGTAACACTAATCATTTTCCCAGAGTTCGGACAAATGTTGTATCCTATGTGATTCTTATTATCTTAGAGTACACTGTTGTTGTAAATCAGCAGAAAAGGGAATGTTGAGATCAGTCAGTGTTTTCTTTCATATGGATGGATATGACCTGAGTTAAATATTCATCAGGAAGCAGCATACATATTTCAGGGAGCTCTCTATTCCAAACAAATCCTTTATATTCACCCTGTATTCTTTATAAAGAAATCATAAATAAACCAAAGAATGGAACCTCTCTTTTGTGTCGGAGACCCCGCAGAGGGGGTGTTTACCTGCGGCAGCGCCTGCATGACGGTGTCCAGCAGAGATCTCATCCCTGTGGCCATCTTCAGGAGCTTCAGCACTGCAGACACACAAGGGAGGAAGAGGAGGAGGAAGAGTCTTTAACAGCGAGATGGTGATGGTTTCATCATGTCGACCCATTTGCTGCAGGATTTACAATGTCACGGAACTAAGCTAGCACAGCAGTGAAGCACTCGCTAGCAGTGATGGGATTTCACTCGGTGTACACTTACTCAAGTACTGTACATACGTTTAATTTCATGTGCTTTACTACTTGAGTATTTAACATTTCCCGCCACTTTACATTTCTACTCCACTGCATCTCAGAGGGATATGTTTGACTACATGTATCTGTCACCTTTTGCAGAAACAACATTTTTTTTGTATGATACATTAATCTATTGAATAGTACCAGTATCAATAAGTATTCATACTTTGCTCCACTTTAAAACCCTTTCTTGAAGTGGACCTATCATGCTATATTTGAATAATATATTGTACGGCCATACCTATATAAAACATGTCTGTGAAGTTTTTTTTTCAAAATACCAAACAGATCATGCCTCATTTCGCTCTATTTGCTCTTTTTTAGCCGGGCTGATTCTGTGAGAAGTCTTCTTCGCTGCTTTTGTGGCAGACTACAGCGCCACCTACAGGCCTGACATATGTACTACAGCGTCTCCAGCGCTTTCGAACGGCAATGGCCGTGGCTGTCTCCTCCTGATTGGTGGAGAGTTGTCCATATAGGCGGAGCTCCTCGTTTCGGACGTTAGAGATATTTCAAATCTGTATCAGATCCGTTGCAGCCCCGTTTTTAGAGATTTGGGTATGGAGGAAAAGAGAGAGGGTTGTGTTTTCTGACACTTGGGGAGTTCCCTGACACACCGGGGACACATATTCATGTATAAAAGACGTACAAAAGTGCATTTTGCATGATAGGTCCCCTTTAAGGGAACTTTGGTGGATTTAATGGGTTCCAAGCACTAATCCGAATCTAATCCGTAATCATTAACACTTCATTATTACTGCTCTAAAGAGGGATGTTACCAGATATCTGATTTGCATCTTTTATAATTGACTCCAGCTGTAACAACCAGGTATTTTTATTATTGATTCATCTGCCATTTACTTGATTGATCTACTGTATATAATTCAAATGGAGGCTCAGAAACCCTAAAAATCACAAATTGCTAATTGTGTAGGACCAACAGACCTATGCCCAAATATATATATATCAGATATGATAACATAGAAGTAATAATTTCATACCATGTTCATATTTGAGTAGTTGGAACCAGTGATTATTTACCAAATTCACTTTTACAATTACATTCGTATTATTGATGTTTCTGATTTTTTTTCTGTTGAATGACTGCTGGATTAATCCGCAAAGAAGTGTCGTGATCCATCCACAGTTGATTGGATTTGAATCCTTCTTTTCCATTGATCCATAAATGTTCTATTAGATATTAGTTATCACCCCCAAGCTGTTATGGTTTATTTTAGGGTTATATCCTCTAAAGATGGATTATTAAACAGCTGAGAAACAGTTTGGGCGAAGAGGCTTAGAAAACACTGTTGCAGTTGGGAGTGATAAGAATCTCTGTGGACAGTGGAAAGAAGACTGATCGCACATCTGTGGCAGTAGGCAGTTCTTCAAAATGCCTGCGAGACTGGCATTAAACAAACGGTTTTATGGCAACCTCTAAAGTGTGCCACCCAGAGTTGGTACCGCAGTTCACATTGTGAGAGGGAGGGCTTCACATTTGACTGATGAACCATCACCTTGAAAAGTAATCTCCCCAGATCTCCACCCCTGTGTGCAGGTACAATTCACTCTACCCCTCGAGCACCTTGTTCATCCTGTGTCGAATACGTGTGTGTGTGTGTGTGTGTGTGTGTGTGTGTGTGTGTGTGTGTGTGTGTGTGTGTGTGTGTGTGTGTGTGTGTGTGTGTGTGTGTGTGTGTGTGTGTGTGTG